GTTTATGGCAAGAAAAGTAAAATATCTTTGGATTCGATTAAATTAAAATTGTAGAAAGTAATGATATCAATTAATCTGTAGGTGTAAAAAGTATTTTACAGATCATCAGTCGAAAGTGAGCGTAGAAATCTGTACGCTTAATAAGTAAGTTATTTATTTACTTGTAGAGACATCAGGCATTTTTTTTTTTTTTTTTTTTTGGAAGCAGGCAAGATGAAAAATTAGCAATGCCTACGGCGCGAATCGAACCACGGACCTCTGGAACACCGGTCCTGCGTGCAGAACCACTACACCACGAACGCACGCTAGGAAGGCGGGAAAAATACCTTATATACTTTCCCTTTTAAAGGGCGACTGGGGTTTTTAGGGGACCCAATCGCCAAATCATGGGTCAGGAGAATCATCATCCAACACTCTTTTAGTTCGGGCGCTACTGTAGAGACATTAGGTATTTTTTTGGAAGCAGGCAAGATAAAACATTAGCAACGCCTTCGCAGGGAATCGAACCACGGACATCTGGAATACCGGTCCAGAGTGCAGAACCACTACACCACGATGGCACGCTAGAGAGACGGGAGAAATACCTTATATACTTTTTAGTTTTATCTTATCATTAAATTTTGATTTTATTTTCATCCTATTTAAAATTCAGAGTTCTATTAAAAATGAACTATTCATTCCCTCTATTTCGACTATCAAATCTTCTTGTTTTGTTCCTAAATAGGCATATCCTGGAGGAAATGATAAAAATCTTCGCCTAGTACCGTGATGTCAATCTGTCAGATGCATCACTGTGAAAAAATAGACGATCATTAAATACGTGAGCGTTTCATCACGGATTATATTTACGTTTCTTCAAAATGTAAAGCATTTATTATGAAAAAAGGAAGAGGCTTCTAAAGAATAGTAATCATTAGTTCAAGTGATATTTTACGCAGTGGAACATAATAAACAATATGTCGTTAAAATGAATGATAAGAATGCTACATCATTCCGACTATTAGAACCTCAGAAAATTCAAAATATGCTATGGTCAAGTTTTTGCAATGTGTAAATAAATATATATATATATATTTTGGTTTAATTGACTTAGCTATAAAATACCCTGGAAGCAATTTTAAAGTGACCACCATTTAAGTACCTAAATTCTAAATTTTAGACATTTGGAAACAAATACTCATAATGAATAATTTTAGTAAAAATTCTTATTTTATCTTCGTCATTTTAGCAACTGTATGAATTGTACAATTACACTTCTGCTGGCAAAAACGGCATTTAGGTATAATCAATGACCTATGAATAGATGAATGAATTTTCGACTGCTAGAAATATCTAATTCTGCATACAGTGAACTATTTTCTATTCCGGTTATCCTCGCATATTCTATCCAATCACGGCGTACTACATTTTGCAGCCGTAATCTCTGTTCGTTATAAACTTGTCATTTCGTGAATCTGTATTTCGCGTTTTAAGTAGAGTATACATTATTTTCTTCAAATTAAAAGATACAGGACAGGAGACCACTGGGTAAGCAGCTGTGCCGCCAAGAAGACTTATTGCTCACTCAGTGGGACCAAGTTTATTTAAATTTTATAATCTATGAAATTTGGATATATACATGAAATCACTATACATAAATACCTACATTAAATAGAGTTGTAAGAAATATTTTGATATATATGCATAAAAATTAATTAATTCCAATTTGAAAGTTCTGAAACAGCTGCTGAGATGAAAAATCTTGAAATATGAAATATCTTGAATCTTGGATATGCTGTTCCTTTTGAATGATCATGGTTTTCAATTAGATATTCGATGCTTTATGTTCCTTTTGAATGATCACAGTTTTCAATTAGATAATTAGAATTATTAAGTTATGCAATTTATTACGAAAAAGATTATTTTAAGAAGTTGTTTCAACCAGATTTGTGCGTTGACAACTGTGAAGGGGCGAAAGTAGAGATCTTTGGTTATTGAGCATTCAAACATATAATAATCGGTACTTTTCCGTTTCGCCGGCGCAAATCTCGCCAAGTAGAATCTAAGCACACATTTATCCAAAGTTCCATATAATATATATATTTTTTGAATCTGTTAAAAGTGCCAAAGACTGTGTGTTTAATGTTTCCATACTCAACTCACAGGCTGCATGTGGCGCAGTGAGTTTATATACGCAGCCTAAAAGGAATTTATTTGCATGAATTTATTTGCTCTTGCAAACAAAGTTTGAAAGGTCATCTGCATCAAGGTAAAATTTAAAATTTATCAAATGCATGTTGAAATTTAAGTTTGAATTTTTAAAGACCACTGATACAACTAGGAATACACAGTTAAGTATACACAAAATAAATAAATATTCCATCTCACATTTGTTAACTGTTATAGTTGTAAAATTATGTTGAGGTGCAGCAACTTTGATTTCTAGTTATCTTAATTTCAAGAGAACACTCATAGAATTTTACTATCCATAATGGCAGAAACATTTTAAAGAAAAAAATGAACACTAGCTGAGAAAAAGGGATAGTTTTGTGATGGCTTCCGGGTATCAGGATGAAGTTCTACACTTCATTATGAGACCTTATGCTGCAGTAGTTGGTCCTGATTTTCTTGGACAGGTCTCATGTGCAGTAGCTGTCATATTTTCGCTACCTAAATTTCAATGAAAATGCTTGGGATGCTCCCAGGCCTGCTGGACTGGCCCATTTACCTCCTCCAGACAGTTTAAACTGACCATTAGCCATTCCTAATAGCTTTGATGGTCGATTAGCTCATTAAAAGCATGAGCAATAACTGTAAAGTGTGTGTAAAGTTTTGGGCATGTTCACACACTTTACTGTAAGTTTCATTAGCTTAAGTTTACCTTTAACCCTTTGCACTATGTTGTGGCTGATAATGCCTGTTTGAAAATATGAACTTTAAATCCTCTGCAGTACAAAGGATTAAATATCAATTTGTTAATGACTTAGATGTGATGTCATCATGTATTTTACAAAAATTAAATATTATTTTCAACTTTGTAAATAATATTTTTCTTTCAAGCATAAACATATTTGCTATCTTCATATACAACTCGGTGTTAATTAAAGTTTTATTTTTACATTTTTGTGGATTTTACTGTCGTATATGCTTAACTTCCAAAAGCCAGTGTATAAAAAAATAGATAAATTTAGCTATATAATTTTTATTAAGTTAAAAGTGCCTTACACTTAAAAATATTACTTTGCACATGCTGTAAATTAAGTACTTTAGAACCAGTAAGTGTAAGAAACTTTTACTACTAAAGCAGGCAGTAACTATAAAACTACTGATTACCCCTGCCCTAGACCTTATCATCTTAATAAATCAGCGCTCAAGGCCTTTGCAAGTTTAATAAATTCAAGTAATATATATGAAATAATTTTGAACACAGAAGACAAGATGTTGATGGCATAGTTGATAATGATGACAGCTGACAAAGTATTTGTATTAAAGATGTTAACAGTCTACAAATTTTAAATTAAAATTAAATTTGCGAAGTGCATTCTTAATATGAATTATACGTTGTAATGCACTCAATCTGCACCTCATTCTGGATCATATTTTTGTTTTTTATATATCTTATGACAATGTGATTGATGAAAGAGAAGTAAGTGCTGACATGCTGGTAGGATAGCAAGCAAGACAGAGAATGTGATGATTCAAATTATTGGTTCAAAAATAATTTAGTTTTGGTTTAGCTATATTTTGATCAGTTAATTAATAATAATTTTCTAAAATTATTATTGGCTTAAGTCTTACCATAATGAGCATTATACAATATCATATGATGTGAATTAATTTTGAAATGATGCAGTTTAGAGCATTTATTATAAGCAGTTACTATATTTAGGACACAGAGCAGAAATAATCAAACTACTATTGAAAATTAAACTTAGTATTTTCATTAACATATTTTTATATCACATATTTGTATTATATAAAACATTAAACTCCAATTTCTTGCTTATTTCTTAAAGATCTATGTGCAGCTTTTGTAAATACAGTACTTTTAAGACTCGCACAAATACATAGAGGTTTAGCAAAATTGGTGAACACAGTTTTGCATTGCTAGATGTCTTGTTAGTAATCTTCAATTTGATATACAAAGAAATGCATACTAATGTTTAAATTCAAATATTCTTCAGATTTTAGTGAAAAGAAAATAGTTTTTCATAACCCTTCGAACATGAACGAAATGCTTTTGAGATTATGCACTTAGCTAAATTTTACATTTGGTGTTTAGCCTTTTCACGTGGCAATGACATATAAACCTCAATTTATATCACAGAAAAGGCAACTCTTCATAAATGCATTTTAGATGAAAAATATTTTCAAGTTTAAAAGCACACAATCAGATATAAGATGAAATATGATTCATTAATTTCGAAATTGATAGAATAAGAGACTTATGTGGTACAGATTAAAAACACTGAGATAACGTAAGAAAATGATAAACTATATATATAATCTTCTAAAAATATGTGATCATCTTCTCCAAGTCCAATGACAGAGATTTTTTAACCAATTTCAAAATGCACTTTAATTCTAATCCTCTTAAAATATTATATAATATAAATATCTATTATAGACACTACCATTAATAATGACTGTTGATTAAACTTGATTTGAATCTTTAAAGGATTGTCTTTTATTCAAATATTCATGATATTATACATGCGCAAAATAGCATTAGAAGACAAGGCGCAATTAATAAAGTACATTAAAAAAATTTCCCTTAAAAATTCCATATATTTAACATTAATAATTACAGAATCTTTTCAGAATCAAGATAAACTTTGGAATAAAACACCTAATTTTAAAGAAATTATAAAATTACAAGTTTATCTTATTTACGATTTTCAACAGCATATAATGTTCAATATAAAAATCACAGACTGCAATATTAGTTTTTGAACAAATGAAGCCATATTTTATTCATACATATTAAGTTATTTATTTCAAAATGTTAATAATATACATACTGATGACCATCCACAGCCAGACTTTTTATCAGGGTTTAAGAGTTTTTTGCAATGTATTGCCCAAGAACTTGGCGAAGAAAATATTTTTTGTGTTTCTTGGGCACGAATTTTACCACCAGGCAGCAAATCTCCAACAAATTTAGCACCCTAAAGAGAGGAAGGGAAAAAACATATTAAATTCAGTTAAGTCTGAAGGTATGCTGGCTTAAGGAGATTCTTATTAAAAAGATATATATATATATTTACCTATCTCTAAAAGATTACATATCCATACAGAATCCACACAGAAATAGCAGCTACTGTTAATTTCAGAAAATGCCAAAAAAAATATTTCACATATTTCATTCATTTATTGTAAAATATTTTAATAACATTAAGGTTAAGCTTATTGAATAAGATATATACTGTTTCAATAAATTATAATTGAAAGATATGTACTGTACAATGATACAAGTATGTACCAATATGATTGATAATGTACCAATATGATAGTATGTATAGATAGATATGTACCAATATGATTGATAATGTACCAATATGATAGTATGTATAGATAGATATGTACCAATATGATAGATATGTACTGTATTGAAAGATATGAACTTATTGCATAAGATATGTACTGTACCAATAAAGTTGGCTGAATACCAAATGGCTTAGTTTTGTGCCATAAAGAAAAGGAGTAATGTCATAGTTTGTACAGAAATATGTATAAACATTGCAAATGTACACTTTGCAAATTAATTTTTACAGTGCTTTTACTATTCAATTTCTGTTTAACTTCTCCGTTTCGCCAGCACAATTCTTGCCAAGCAGACTTTGTTGGTGACAGCATACAGTATACACATAACAAATGTTAGTTCTAAGAATCTTTTTATTTTGAAGGCATAAACATTTTAATATTATTTAAATTTTTTTAAAAAGCCAGTAAATAAAGAGAATAAAATTGTAAAAAAACATCAATTTAAAATTTACTGTGCTTTCGTGGTTTAACATCCTGATTCGCCGGTTCGTATCACATGACCCCAAGTGATCTCATCTCACGTAAACTACGCTACTAAAAACCAATTCTCTCAGTAATTATCTGCATTAATTTCAAGTTAAATCTCAATTTGGAATACAAGTTTAAATGCAAGAATTATTTCAATTCGTACGAATAACTTACTCAGAAATTATGTAAAACCACATTGCTTTATTTCGCTAGTATATTCTCATTAGAATTGATGAATTTAACCCTTGCTTTTGCGTTTTCTATATTTTCGCCTTCGGGTGAGCGGTGTGATTGTATCCTAATCGACTTAATTACCGCGAATGGTCTTAGGGCATAAAATTTAACTACCTTGTAAAAATTCTATGTAATTGTATGTCAGTATTGAAAGAAACAATCAATCTGATAAGAAATGGCTGGGACTTGTTTTGAAAATAAAGTGTAAAAGGTTACCAGCGAAGATATTCTGTTTGGCATCAGTTGTACCATTATTGGTGACTTTATCGTTTGCGCTGGCAAAATGGAAAAGTACCAATTTTTCTACTTAACCATCTTCAACAATAATAAACTCCTTTCATTAATGCACAAGTTTCTTCAAGCAAAAAGTGTTTATGAATGTGACTGCAGCCCAAACTGCAAGGTTTCTTTGGTCTTGGCATCACTTTAAAACTGCTGCTTTCTAAATATGTTTAACATGGAAGCTTTTTAATAGTAGTGAATTTATAATACGGGAGAAGCACCTCAGTTGAACATCTGGGGGGGGGGTCCTTATCTTAAAGCACAGCCTATGTTTACCATTTCTTTTAATAAGTACATTTATTTTGGGATCTTTGAGAATGAAAGGATTCTTGCACCTGTGACATGCATGCTTCAGACCCCATATAACAGGCTTAGCTAATAAATTTAGAGCTGTGAGATCATCATTCTCCCCCCCCCCCACTTACTTGCTTGGAAAGTGTTTTAGCTTTAGATGAAAATCATAAAACCATATTGCACTCCAATTTCCTATGTGCATATCTTGTCCAAGTTTATTTATATAAAACACATATGCAATATCAACAAAGAACCTAAAATGTTATTCTTAGACAAATAATACTCTTAGACAAATAATAAGCTTACTTTGCTAGGTTATGAATGTATGCAAATACTATGTATGCATAAAATGTATGCAAATACGTTGGAAGAAAAACCGTTAACACTCTGATTTAAAACTTCTAATGATCTCACGCATTCATTTGTAATGTCAATTAAGTTTAATATTGCTGACGCAGACTCATTTTGCATAGGATGCATACTCATAAATCGTCTCAGATGAGCATACACTTGTTCGCGGTGATTAGAGAACCTTTCTTCTAGTAATGAAATGGCTAATTTATAATTAGAGTCAACTATGGATATTGACTGCACAATACGATAAGCATCTCCTCTTAGCGCAGACTTTAAGTACTGTAATTTGACTGCATCTGTTAAATTAGGATTTGAATCAACACTGGCTAAAAAAGATATCTTTAAATGAAAGCCACTCATGTAAGTTACCCGAAAACGTTGGCAAATTAATTTTGGGTAATTTAACATTGTTCTCAGTATTCGTTCGTGCAAACCGAAGCTCCGATTTAATTTCTTTGGAAAGTTTAGCTAATTTACGATTTAATTCGACTTATAAGTAACAGAATATCGTCAATCTCTTCTTTCTCTTTTACATAAGCGTCAATACTTTCTTCCGTACATAACCCAAACAAAGAATCGAAATTAGAAGTTTATTCTGTCTCAAGCACTTTAAATTTATTCTTTAGTACTTCTAAAACCACTTCCTTGGACATTTTTCGTCCAAAACCTTTTGTTTTAACTTTGTTTAACTGTGTTTTTAATGTACGTTTTTTCGCTAATATCTCCTTTAGTGACATTTTAATTAGCAAAAGTCAATAAACAAATAAAGAGCTTCAAAATGGTACAATGAGCTTCAAAAAGGAGGAGGGTACTTACCCTTTTGTTTCTACAGAACTTCAATCTTGAAGTATCCTATATAATTCTTCATTTCACAAACCGAAAGTAAATTCGCACTCTCATAAACTTTATTAGCTCCTCCGGCTCGACGGACCACAAAACTTGAAATGACTTAATTCTATTTCCCGTCGATAGCTGTATATCGTAATAAAATAACTCCACACACATTCCACAGTTTAAATACATTTATTTTCCATAGCGACACTCAGGCGCTAGTTTCCACCTCACAGCGTAACATATGAATCGCAACTTCGAATGTACCATAAATCAAGTTTTTTCACAGAATACATTTCAACGCCAATTCCGGCGGCGCATGCGCCATTAGCCAACATTCCGCTCTGGCGCCAAGCATTTCTCAGCTAATACAAAACAATTAGAGACGGCCAAAACAGCCGAAGCCAAATTCAAATTAGTCATGAAATTTTCAGACAAAAAAAAAGTGAATATTATACCAATCCGACAACAGTTGAGAGGTAGAAATTTCTCATCTTATCCCACTAAAGCCTAGCAGCGGAATGCAGGTTCACAACATGTGAACCTGTGAACCACCTAAGAACGACTCCGTGCCACTATTTTTGTTTTTTAATACAGAGATTTTGCTTTGTTTTCCTCATAGAACTAGTTTTTAAGAGGAAATCTGGATATTGTCATTAAATTATGAACTTCTGTCGCAACAAAACAACTCGAAGAACTAAATTCTTTCATCTCTTTTGCCTGTTGTGGCGAGAGTTCTCTTCGTCTTCGCACTCGTATAAGGTATTTCTCCAACCTTCTTGGCATGCTTTCGTGATGTGGTGGTCTGCACGCTGGTCGCGTATTCCAGAGGTACGAGGTTCGAGTCCCGGCGAAGGCGTTGCTAATCTTCCATTTTTCCTGCTTCCAAAAATACCTAATGTTTCTACAGTCGTAACTCCAGCGCTTTAGGACACCTAATTCAAATAGTGCGCAGATGTTCGAAATAACTAAATAATGCTACAGATCCACATTTTAAGTTCCAAATGACACTGGAAAGGTTAGTATATTTTAACGTTAAGTAGCGAGAACCGCACAGATTTCCAGTTCATTTCATTGTATAGAATTTAAACCAATTTTCCATCCTTTTACTCATTTGTGAAAGAAATTATTACATTTCCTCGTATGGGTTCAGGTAGTATAAGCGATTATCCAACTAGCCTTCTAAATGGTGCAGGAGTTAGATCTGTCATGAAGACCTGTACCTGAATAGTGTTTATTAAGTAAATTTGTATAATTACTTATTTTAGACTTTATTTTCATGAACTTGCATTCATTAAGATGTATTTACATTATTAAAGAAAGTAAGAAAGCAAAATATGTTAAATTATAAACTAAAATATGTCAAGTGACAAGAAATCTGATGACTGGATAAAGCCGGTTCTGGCTCTAAGAGGGCTAGTTCACAATTAGAAGACTCGTGGTTTGAACCCCGGCGAAGGCACAGCAAGGATGCAGAAACAGAAGGCCTTTCTTCGTCTCCGGTTTGAAGTACAGTTTTATTCCGCTTCCAAAATCAAGCGTATTCGAAAACGAAATATTTTTTTTTAATTTATAAATGAAATATTAATACAAGATGAGTGGAGAAATATTAAGTCAGAAATAATAATAAAATTTTTATTGAAATCTCTCTAAACATATTATATCATATTTTAAAAGCTAATAAAATAATTCAATGAAATATTAGAAAAACATTTTAAGATGTATATATATTTATTTGATAGAACTGTAAGAGCTCGTTAGTTCTGTTGGATGATTTTCTAGCTCAAATTTTAAACTCAGTATTCTGTAGTTACCAAAGATATATTATATGAGGTTACATCGTTACTGATATTTTTTTAAAGTACACGTTTTATAATTTTAGTTTTTTTGATATTATTTTCGGAAATTCAAAACGTCTGATCATGTTCGTGAAACAATGCAAAATTGTTAAATGTGTAAAAACATTAGGTTTTTTGGAAGCAGGCAAGTCCTCGGTAATGTGGTGTTCACTAATTTTTCATTTAATTCAGCTACATTATTTCATATTTCTGGAGCAGCTAATTTGGCAATTAGTAATAGTTCACGAAGTTTAGTAATAGTTCACGAAGTTTAGTAATAGTTCACGAAGAGAGCCAGAACAAGCGTGAGGCAAGTACCTCAACTGCCTCACCTTTGCCCAGTCTCTCTTTGGGATAATGGAAGACTTCTGTAATCTTTTCCTTCAATCACTAAGTTATCTAAATTTAATATATTTTATGCAGATTGTATGCGAAAGTTTCAAACAATTTACGCAGTAATCATTTATATGTATTAAAATTTGCTGGTCATTTATCTGCACATTTAAATCCACATAACTTTGAATGCTGTCAAACAAAGATAGGTCGCAGGTCGCTAAATTTGCTACACATGGTATTTAATCAAAATAGTGCTTAATTGGGACGCTTAATTGGGACATTTTTTAACATTCTTGAGAAAAAAAGATTAATACATTATTTACTTGAAGCTTTCCTTCGCTCTCTAGAAAGTCTTGTACTGCCACACGAAATGCACACTCCTGACATTTGATGGTACAAACAAATGGAGATTTCAAATAATCGGTTTGAAACTGTCAGTATATACTATACTTTGTTTCACAAGATATACACTTACAGATATCACGCATTGTAGAATATATATTAAAGCAATTATCTTTTCACTTAACATCACAGCACGGTTTTAAATTCAAATACTACCATGCTTTCATCCAGATTATACAGCTCTCTAAAAAATGAAGACCTTGATCTAGACACAATTTTGAACACGCAGTAGTTTGGATTAGCTATAAACATTATCCGTTAATTGGAGGCTAAACATTCATAATGTTCCATAGTTTTTTTTTTTTTTTTTTTTTTTTTGATGACTCTCATAAAAGTTGCTGTCAACTCGTTTTCAAAAGAAAAATTTTGCGTGTTATGCAGCTTTATAGCTTTACAATGGTTTCAATATTAAATAATTTTCACGAAAGTATTTCATTTAGATTTTTCAGTTTCGAGTAAATAAAGATTTTCTTCAAATTACTTTAATTTAATCAATTATTTCGCATAAATTTTAGCAAATGAACTAAATAAATAATAAAAATTAATTTCTGGGATTCATCAGTTGGATTTAGCTATGCAAAAACTGTTATTGAAAAAAACCCAAACTATTATTGCTTCTGTTTTGATTTTATTTTCAAAAGCGAGAAAATGCTTTCTTAACCTTTACGTTCTGTTTTTTGTTTGGTATGAATTTCATCAATAAGATTTACAGTGCGTTCTTCTGTTGACATTTGCTTTTAGTATAAGCAGTATTGTTTACTCATTAGTTGCCTAAATTTAATTTTAAACATGAAGTCACTCTTTTAAATGCCTTACAGATGACATCTTTACCAAATTATTTTAAGAATTGCTTGTTAATATGATGTAGATTTACTATATAAAGAACACTCAAATGCTATCCAATGACTTCTAAAACTTTTTTCTCTCTCAGATTTTTTTTAATTTAATTTTTCCTAACATAAGTTAGGCGTCATTATATACCTGTGCGTTGTCCTCTTTCTGTGCTTATGATTTACAACAGCTCTTTGGAAACCATTTCCAGGATCATTATTATTTCTCAAATTTTCAGTTAAAACGCTCTGAAATTCACTCCAAAATGTAATTGGAATTAACCGCTATATTCAATATATAGTTTATTTTTATGAGCGATTTTCTGTCGTAAAATATCTCATTGTTAATTTCTTTTTCAATTTTTAAATAGAACTGGAAAAAACATAAAATTATAACAAATAGTTTATCAGAGCTTTCATGCATCATAGATTTAATGTTTTCCATCACAGTTTTACGCCAAAATCTGTTATTAAATTTTCAAATTCATTAATTTTATAATTTTTCGTGAAAAATGTAAATATTTCCTCCCTTTTCCCGCCAATTTTTCTTTTCTACTTTGCTTAATTAACAATGCTTTTTCAGTCATAAATGTTGGACACCCGATAAGTATACACGAATATGTATTGTCTTTCAACACCGAGAGCTTTTTTGGAATTCGCAATTTTGTTTCATTTTTATTTATGAAGGCATTTCCTCGCATGATCATTGTTTTGTCTCTCACAGACAACACTCCTTATAGTTGGAACAAAATTCTCTCGAGGAATACTTCGACACCACAGTTGCTGCTTTAAGACATCCTTTGGAAATTTATAAACAGTGTCGCAATCCTCTGTTCCTATATAATTAGAGTTACACACTGGTAAGAACTTGGAAGAGCACCTCCCTCCTGACACAACTGTCTTATGGCAAGTTACACATTGGTAGGCAGCAACGATCAGATACTCTATAAGGTATTTCTCCCTCTTTCCTAGCGTGCCTTCGTGGTGTAGTAGTTCTGCATGCTGGGCCGGTATTTCAGAAGTCCATGATTCGATTCCCGGTGAAGGCGCTTGCTCAGTTTTCATCTCTCTGGCTTCGGAAAAAAATCCTAATGTCTCTACAACTCTTACTTTATACTGACAAATTTAACATGTGACAAGAAAGTTCATATACTGCTTGGTCGCCTGCAACCTGATTCAAGTCGAAAAACGATGGGCGGAAACATTATTCGTCTTTGAACTGCTTGATGAAGGTCATGGCTTTCTCCTTACGAAGGCCACGTTTTCCTCAAGCAAACGATCTTAAGATTGATTGATGTTCCCATGACTGAAGTTCCCATAATTCCTAAGAAACCTCGTGCTTCCTCATCGGATACTGCTTAATATGTTCAAGGATTCTCAATTTTCGAAGCTGTCTACATTATTTTGTCAAAGATGGAACGAATATTTAATTGCATATTTATTTATAAAACTCATACTTAGACTTCTGAATGTTGATATTTTCCGGGTAACTTACAAACTATTCGGTAGAACTTTCTGAAGAGCATTTATCCCGTTGTTCTATTAAAAAATACTGAAGACATAGTGATGGGTATTCTCTTGAATGATGGCAGCCACATTCACAACTGAGGCTATGGTTTTCAGCTCCGGGAGAAAACTGAAGTTTCTGCGGCCCTGCTATCTGCCAAGAATGGAAAACATTTCATTATAAAATTTCTAACATCAGTTTGGTGCCCTGTGATGATGCCCATCTGCTCCCTAATTGCGATACGAACTGAATTGCGCACAGTAGAACTTCTGATATAACTCCTGAAGTATCGCCTGTCAATGAAAAATATAACTCTTCTGGCAATAACATTTTCGTCATTCTAAGACATCCATTTCTGTAAAAACTACATTATCTACATCATGCTACTATCTAAATTTTTCGAATAATTTAATTTTTAAATTTTCTGTTACTTTTGGATCACCCGATGCATAGTATACTCAGGGCCGGATTATAAAGACTAGGCCTTGAGAGCTTAAAAAGATTTTGGCGCCCCCACACATGTGTTTACGTCATGCTATTCTTCATTTCGTTTCTCACATGATTTTGGTTT